AAAAATTGAAACATAATGAGTTATTATTATTGTGTTTACTATTATTCTTACATGTAAACATAGATAATATAATAATAATGATAATAATAATATATTTTGTAAAAGTGTGATGAATCTCGCGGGCCGGAAAAATGTTCAAGGCGGGCCACATGCGGCCCGCGGGTTGGCCACCCCTGATCTAAGGAATGGCCAGGACTAGCAGAATCTGTTCATTAGCTCATTGGCCTCAAAATGATTAAAACCAGTTATAATGAAAGCAGTGGCATTCTCAATATGGTAACCAAACCCACTTGCTCCTCTTCTGTTCATTTCAACTATTTTTAGGTGAGGAAGTAAAAGAGAATAATGCAATTTGTGTATGTACATTTGGCAGCACACAGCATGCAAACATTACTGGACTTACCATCACTTCACCTTCATCTGCCTCTGGGTCAGACGATAGCAACGTAATGACTTCGGGTGTCCTCTCATGACGAGGCTTCACACAGCCCACAATGACACAGTCATCTGAGTTACAATCCTCATTCAACTGTGATGGCTGATCCTCTTCATGACCACTGCTTGTGGGAAGATGCTGCAGGATACTAGGGAGAGACGTGTCACTATGGGAACTGCTCAAATTATTGATATCACTGTCACTTGCCTGGTCTACAGGAAGCACATTCTGTAAGCAAACACAACTGTGTGCAGACTTCATATCTCTACTTGTATGTACTGTCATTGCTCTAGATTAATAGATCTTCATGAAACTTAACGAATTCACTGCCTTCTTTTAATCCTTTCAGTGTGAACCATAAGCATACTTGTTGCTCAGATGGTTTGTGCTGCAACCCCATATATTGTTACATTTTTATACTATGTGGCTCTTCAATTTTGCCACAAGATTCAAAGACTGTAAACAGAGAAGATACTTTTATCTGTGAATATTTTTTGGCAATTGTATCACATATACTGGAGAAAAGCAAAGTGTTTCTACAGCAAGAAAACACTTCTAAGTTGGATGTGTGTGATAGCTTGCATGGCACTTGAAACATAATAAAAAATCAATTGTCTTTGTTTAATTACGTGGGTACATATAGTATGGAAAAATTATTACTTCTGCAAATTATGGTAATGATGTTCATACACTTAATAAACAAACTTAGAACTGTAACAGGGAAGAAAGACACAAATGTCATTATTACTTAGCAGACAATTAGATAACTAAAATGAAGACTACCAATAGCATTAACCCTATGCCATCCTCATTCATTCTGAGCCTGTAGGACACGTTTTTTAAATGGTCTTTGAACTATTAAATAAGTGTCACATAAAATTAACACACATTTGGAAAATCTTACATATCTTGGTATCTGCTTATTATCTCAGCATGCTTATAAGACTCTGTTTTGGCACTTAACCCCAAGTTGTGTATCAATTTTGAACCTCAATGCCTGTTTCCTAATGGCAGTCCAAAAAGCATCCTATGCAGCAGAGTGGAAGGTCATATTGTTTGCACTTGCAGGATGTTTCTTCCCATGTCCTGAAGGTACCCATAATTCTTATTTTAGTACACACAATCCATAAACCTTTGCCCACCCCATAAATTTTTCCAAGCAGTGGAGCAACCTCGATGATACTGTCCCCATTGGCAAACTTCTCTTCCTGCCTATATGATTACCTATCGTGTAAGTTCCAATGAGGTGCTGCACTATATATTTCTAATAGGCCAGCTGCCTGTTGCCATGAGCTGTACAAGATGGTCTACTTGTCATGTCATATAAAACAAAACAATTCACAATATATACATTGATTATAAAATAAAACACAAATTTCTACCAGTTTTTAGATGAACACCCCCATACCACAGTATTCACACTACTGATCACTGAATTCCACTCCTCTCATGTTACGTAGAAGATCAATGATTCCCATAAATATCAAGATTCCAATATAAGCTTCAAACTCTTCTGCATTTGTTTCTTTCCAGTTGGAATTATTTACACCTGATTGCAAAAAAGCATCATATTTGTTTGTTTCATTAGCTACCATCTCAAAAAGGTTCTGTCTACAAACAAACAAAAACAATATTTTTCATCACATCCAGAAGGAAGATTATGGGTTGAACCTTGTACATTCTCAAAAGCAATGGGTTAATATTAATTAACTCGTTAATACCAATTAGTGTAGAGAATCATAAAGAATTCGGTTGCAATTATGGCAATGATAACGCAGAAAAAATTTTGTTTTTTCGTATACAGCCTTTCTTCTGTGGCTAAAAGTAACAATGAATGTTATGACTTAGCAGTGATGTAATTTTCAGAGAAATAACAAATGCCAATGAGCCAGGGTAGCTCAGTTAGTATAGTGGCTGACTACAGACTGGATGACCAGGGTTCAATCCCCAACAGCATTAAGACTGGCTATGGGGCCTACTGAGCCTCCTGTCAAATGGGTATCGGGGTCCTTTCCCAGGGGTAAATCGTGGGCCAGGGCATGACACTGACCACTCACTCCTACCTAATGCCAAGGTTCAGAAACAGTAGGAGCTATACCTCCTATATCCCCCCCCAAGCACCTACATGGCATATAGTGGGACTTTACTTTACTTTTTAATAGTACAAGAAGAATATTGGTAGTTTTTTGCAATAGAAATACTTTTCATGATACAATAACACAAAGTTCAGAAATTAAAATACTTCGATTCTTATTTTTCATCAAAATTGCTAAGAAAAAAATTATGAAATTTCACATTAAAAATTGTGGATGTAACTTTCTGCCACCCTCTAGTGCAATGATATGAAATGTGCCTGTTCTTTATCATATGTAAGAGTACAGTTCTGTACCCCTAACTAAGAGAGCAAAGTTCAACTTTAAAAATATTGCTAATTTAAAGTGAGGTGGTGGTAGCAGAAACTGCTGTTGGCAGTAATCATACCCTGGAAGGACCAGCTACAGGAGATCTTGAGCCCTGATGTGCTGGGGAAGTCCTCCTCCTGTTTGAGCCTTGAGGTGCTGTGGAAGTCCTCCTCCTGTGAGATCTGGATGGGGAATGGCTCTCATGTGATGGTAGAATTACCACATCACTGTCAGAGCTGTCAGATAGAACTTCATGCACCATATCCTGCTACAACATAAATCACGATGAGCTGCATTATGACAACTTATTTACATAAATTTCATATTAACTAAGGTCTGTATTGGGCCACTCTAGACCTAAATGAATTCTAACTTACATGTTTTAGCACTGACTCTTACTACAACATTCCACTGAAATCTGACAAGTAGTTACAGAAACAAAACATGCAGATACATGAGAGCATGACATTCTCATATTGTACAGGAACTAAAACATTCTTCTCCTTTCACATTGTAGTTCATAAAAATTTAATGATTATCCTCAATTTTTAGACAAAACAGAACACACATTCAGGCTGCTTATTCAAAAATAGGAAATAAAATATACTACTGACTTATAATATAACTGACACAAACCCCAAAGTTGTTAGGCACTGTGTAATGAGCATTTTCATCGAAGCCAACCATGTCATAAGACGAGCCAGCAAAAGAAGTGAACTCATGAATAAAGTGGTCACAGTGATGCCTGAGGAAGGTAGACAGTGGGAGTCGGAACTCTTCTGACAGCATGTGGTTATGGGGCAGCTGACTGATTACAAGGTTCAAAACACGTGCAGACAACCCAGGGCTTCGTAAGATTACCTGAAGCTCTCTGTTCAGCCACGGGATTAAACGATGCACCTCCTCAGGATGATTCCTGCAATGACACAATCACATTTAAACAAAATGCACAGAAGGACCAGATGTGCTCCATTACCTTTGAAATCCCACCCACACATTATGGTCTAGGGCAGTATCAGTCCACATAACCCTTCCATGGTAATTCAGAATATGTGAATGTTTATTTTCAGAGAAATTCTATCTTACAGACCCCTTTCCTGTCCTTCACAGCACCTATCTGACTGGGTTCATCCCCTGACAGCTGAAGCTTTACATTGTGTTTCAGATATAATCTATCTTCTGAAAGGAAAGGAAGTTACATTTTGTTTACAATGCCTATGGAGTGGTTATAAAAGCAAGGATATGGATATTGAGCAAGAAAAGCTGAAATATGAGCCACTGTTATAAAAATGCAATTGTGAAATTCTGCATGTTTCTACCTTTTTGGCCAATTGCTATGATCACATTTTATCCAAACAGATTTATAAATGTCTAGTCGTACACCACTTTCCAACCTTTCTTCTCCCACAGAAGGATATCTATCATCTGTGCCACCACTGTACTCATACTCAGATTTCCTCAAGACAGAACTTTCACCCAGTAACATAATAACATACTGACTCTGCCAAGTGCCATGTTAGGTATCATAAACACACACCTAAAGTTCTGAGGAGATAGATCCCTGGGGAGGCCCACACTGGGCAGTGTGGTCAGCCACAGATTCTGATTGTAAACATTCATCCTGAACTCATTTGGAACCAGTCCACGTCGGCGACGAAAGGTTCTCTGGGCCGGCAAAACATCACCAGGTTCCATCCTGTGCCGCAGATCCCGCTGATCCAGATGTTCCAGTACCCTTTCCAACCGACGGTTGGGGGTAAAAGTAGTTCTGTACAGAGAAAGAGAAAGAGATACACACACACACATCAGCCATCACAGCTGCTCTCATGGACCCTAATGCTTTATTACTGTAACCACAAAAGCCCAATACTGGACTGTATCCGAAGCAGTTCCACTCAATTCACATCAATCACAGCCTACTATTTCTTACACAGCCATGCCAATATTAACCTCACATCTATGCCTATGTCTCTCAGTTAGTCACTTCACTCAGATTTTTCAAGCAAAATTCTTTTTCCTTTGTGTATGTTACGTGTCCACCTGTCTGACATAATACGGCATATGTACCTGTATCGGAACGGCTGCTGCACCATGTCAATATTGATCATGTTCACCCATGGGTATGGGTTCTCTGCTGCAGGATGCAGGTGATACTGGTCATAGTCCTCATTGGAACGGACATTATGGATTATAGACTTAAAGCTTTGCTTGCAGAGAGGGCACTCTGGCTTAACCTGCAATACAAAAATTTCAGCAAACTTCTACCAGACTACACAGCATAACAGCTCAGAAGACAGTCATTCATACTTGCTGGTGTGAAGACCTAAAATGTCACAATCACATTTATGCATTGTATAGTTAGCATTAAACGAGGTGTCAAATTTGTAAAATAGTATGTAACACTCTTCTCAAAAAGTCAGAAAATCAATCTGTCCAACATAAATTATAATTTAAAAATAAATATGGAAAGGAATAGTATAAATGTTATAAAACAAAGATACAAAATTGTGCTGACAAAGGAAAAATATATTGAAGTGAGTCATACTATGAAATATTATTGCCACCAACGGGTACATACTGCACACACGGGTAAACTCCTGAGGACTGACTGAATACTCTGTTCTCCTTTTCAATGTAGCTCATGCACCAATTGTAATCTTCGACTACAGGTTTCTGAGCTTCCCAAATTCACCAAAAAAGTTGCCTTCTGCAGTGGTTTGCCAATATGCACAAAACTTGCTTGCCTTTCCAAATCAGTACTGTCACATTACTGTTACTTTAGAATGTAGGTAATCCCATTTCAATTATAAGGGCTTATTATCAAAGGTTCATAGCATTTCTTTACAGTATTAACATCTAACAGTCCTACGCCAGTTGGTCTGAATGCCTTACCTTTGACCATTCAAGCAGACAGTTGAAACAGAACTGATGCAAGCAACTGTCAGTAAAACATTTGTTCCGTGACTTCCCCAGACAGATAGCACAGTTTGGTTCTGGTGAGGCACCTCGCTCAATCGATGGACTTGGGGACTTTTCCCTTTCAACTGTGGGGCTACATTCTGCCCCAGCGTCAGGTGATGGGCATCTACCTAGCTCCATAACCTTCAAAATTACAAAATAAATAAAATACTCAAGTTTATCCTATGCACCAAACACAACACCATGATACAGGTTAACATGATAAGCAGTAAACAGTGTTTCAGCTGATCATCAACCTTATCATGACAAAAGCCACTATAAGACACTAACAAACAACCTAAGTCCAATTCAGAAACTATAAACCATTCAATTTTTGTTTTACTTAATGTTTCACATGGCCTCTTTCTTAAAACTTTAAAGAAAAAAATTCCTTGTCACCCATGCATTCTGCATTCCACAAAGATTACTTTCTGAAGGATTCAAAATATGTACAAATCCATACAATACTGATTCATCATCCTGTTGGTCTCTTTAGGAAACAAGGACAGAGAAATAAATGAGACTGAAATGATCAAACAAACCACAATTAATAAGATTAAAGATACTAAATGACAGGATTTGATCCATGTGAAATCAACCAGTCTGGAATTAATTGCTCGCTTGATTATTACCAATTTGGCCATCAGCTTCAAGCTATAAGTAGGTAAATGGAAAGGACACTACATGATAAAGGAAAGATGAGAAAATTTAAATTTAATATAATTTTAACAACACCAATACTTTCATATGAAATAGAGACATGGGTGGACACTAAAAAAGGAAGAGAAAATCCAAACTCAGAGATAGATTATTAAGAGCAGTCTGGTAGAAATTAGAAGATGTCCAAAAACAGAAATAAATCTGAAGAAATTACAAAATAATAGAGCACAAAAAAGATGGAAAAGGTGCAACATACGACAGCCTGATAAAGCATGATGTTAAAAAACAGGGTAAAAGTTACATATACAGCAGAGTCCTGATTATCTGACCTTTAATTAACCAATATTCAATCCATTTTATCTGATGTGCCATGTCGGAACATTCCATTTTATTAACAGCTGACTCAATGTGTAGCGGAATGGATTATACTCCCCCATCACACACCACTAAATACAATTTTTGTTTGTGAGATTTTTTAATTGTATGCTGTACTGTATTTTTTTCATAATTTAAGAATACTGTAAATTGTGTTGATATTAATATTTACATTAGTCTTCTGTATTACATGATATTTCTTCATTATTTGACCATCCTTCAGTCCAGTTCAGGTCTGATAACTGGGACTCTACTGTGCATATTTTGCAACACACAGACATCTAATCAATGGAAATTATCTCTCAAGTTCCATTAATCATTTAACAACCACACTACACTTCAGTCTACTCAAGACAGAACATGAATGCAGACAATTCAACTTGTCCTGATGAACAAATCATAATACATAGTTTCATTTATGGAGGCATTTAGACCACAAAGTTGACAATTATTAGGTCTAACAATACTTCAATAACATCTTCTTGGGTGATCAGCTGCATCAACAACATGCAGAGTCCTACTACATGGTTACTTTAAATTTTAAATAAAACCTATGAAAGATGAGTATGTGATGAACAAATTTCTCAAATACCTATTGCTTTCACCACCAATCACAATAATGTACAAGTAATAAATTAACAATATGGTGCAAAGCAAAACTTAATTTCCACAAACTGTTATAACAATGGTTTATTCTAAAGAAGGTACTTTTGCATCAAATTACATAATTAGTTCATAACATGATCTTCGCAAATTTGTTTTACTATAAACCTAGCCCCACCCACCCAATTGGCATACTCATCGCCCTGATGACGGAGGCAGTATGACCTCTGAAACGTTGGTAAACATCGACCAGACTACACAGAGCAAAAACCCAGAAGACAGAAATCTTGTTTTACTTCTTGACAAAAATACAAATAGGGCATCAACCCACCACCCTGGACAGAAAGAAGGTTAAGGGCAGAATACAGTTAAAAATCCCTCACACCACATTCAAAATTGAATTCTGATCCCATAATGGTCCTCCCTGAATAGGGCTTGCCTGACCTCTGACCATGTATGGTTTTGTTATTTCTGAAGAGCTTTGTAATCTATATCCTACTCTGTCACAAAAATACCAACATAAACTAGCCTGACCTAGTTAGGACTTGAGGTTTTCATGGCAGTGAGTTCAAAGACTGCTGTCTTCTGGGTTGTAGCACCATGTAGTCTGGTAGAAAGTTACCAATGTTCCATAGGTCCTTGCTGCCTCTAACATCAGGGTGATGGCTCATTATTGGTAAACTATCAGACTACAAAGCACTAAAAGCCAAAAGACAGCTAACTCAACCTTCTTTATCAACCACAGTAATAATAACAAGCATGATTGTACATTTTGAGAACGGGCACCACGTTGAATATGTTACCACATCTCAGTAATTCTGCATTATTCACACTGCACCTTTTCCAATATGCTTCTACAGCAAAGCTTGTGAATTGTAAAAATGTACTTCTCATAAGCAAAGAAGATGGCATTATTACTCACCCGTGTGGGTGCCCCATGTTTTACAATCATTCTAACAAAAATTTTATTTTTTTAAATTAAATTATCAAAATGCTACCATCTTCCCAACCAAACACCAGTAATCGTACACTTTAAGTCATGACACAAATCCTTTCAATAAAATGATCCAAATATAACCTTAAATGTCCAGGGGCTCACGTACTCAAATTGTTGGTGCATAAAACAAAACACACTATAAAATTATACTAAACACACTGATTAAACCAATTCACATATGAAGCTTGATGGTTCATCTGTTTAATAAAAATCTGCATGCGGTGCAAACGAGTACATTTTACACATTTCCTTTATTGCATTAACTAAAATGTTATTACTCAACGAAACAAAAGTGCAAGTGCTTAATTTCCGAATAATTAGAGATTTTAAGTGATTAAAATTATACTTGCCTTTTGTTTGTTCCACAAAATTTTCCTTCTTTTATCTACAATATATAAACCGTCAATGTGCACGATCAATCATTGTTTAACTGGGTCATAACCTGTAAAAATAAATCCCAAGAATAAAATACATTCCTTGTGCACCATCCCAACTAACGGCGCCCTGCCAAGCAGGCTCTTACATTCAATTTACGTGATACCATGAACAGACTAATCATTACACACCACTACTGGAACATAAACTACTCGTATTTAGCATAAAGCACAGGTAATGGGCTACACATACAAGACAAGTAAGTAACGTTTTCTTTTCCATGAGCAATCAATGCTTACAAATTCTCTGTGTTTCCTCTTTTTCAGTTACCATGCCAAACGCAATTCCTCCGGAAAATATAAGGTATCCAGAATACAAGTGACAACACGGTACAACAATTTCGTGAAGGAAATACAGAATTTCGTAGTTTATAAAATGAATGGTTGGATTGCGTTTTAAAATCTTGAGTAAGAAACTACCCCCCCCCCCCAGAATGGGGGGTTAAAACACTTGACCAACGCCCCCTCGGGGGGGGGGGGGGGGGTGTGGACAATGGTTTATTCTAAAGAAGGTACTTTTGCATCAAATTACATAATTAGTTCATAACATGATCTTCGCAAATTTGTTTTACTATAAACCTAGCCCCACCCACCCAATTGGCATACTCATCGCCCTGATGACGGAGGCAGTATGACCTCTGAAACGTTGGTAAACATCGACCAGACTACACAGAGCAAAAACCCAGAAGACAGAAATCTTGTTTTACTTCTTGACAAAAATACAAATAGGGCATCAACCCACCACCCTGGACAGAAAGAAGGTTAAGGGCAGAATACAGTTAAAAATCCCTCACACCACATTCAAAATTGAATTCTGATCCCATAATGGTCCTCCCTGAATAGGGCTTGCCTGACCTCTGACCATGTATGGTTTTGTTATTTCTGAAGAGCTTTGTAATCTATATCCTACTCTGTCACAAAAATACCAACATAAACTAGCCTGACCTAGTTAGGACTTGAGGTTTTCATGGCAGTGAGTTCAAAGACTGCTGTCTTCTGGGTTGTAGCACCATGTAGTCTGGTAGAAAGTTACCAATGTTCCATAGGTCCTTGCTGCCTCTAACATCAGGGTGATGGCTCATTATTGGTAAACTATCAGACTACAAAGCACTAAAAGCCAAAAGACAGCTAACTCAACCTTCTTTATCAACCACAGTAATAATAACAAGCATGATTGTACATTTTGAGAACGGGCACCACGTTGAATATGTTACCACATCTCAGTAATTCTGCATTATTCACACTGCACCTTTTCCAATATGCTTCTACAGCAAAGCTTGTGAATTGTAAAAATGTACTTCTCATAAGCAAAGAAGATGGCATTATTACTCACCCGTGTGGGTGCCCCATGTTTTACAATCATTCTAACAAAAATTTTATTTTTTTAAATTAAATTATCAAAATGCTACCATCTTCCCAACCAAACACCAGTAATCGTACACTTTAAGTCATGACACAAATCCTTTCAATAAAATGATCCAAATATAACCTTAAATGTCCAGGGGCTCACGTACTCAAATTGTTGGTGCATAAAACAAAACACACTATAAAATTATACTAAACACACTGATTAAACCAATTCACATATGAAGCTTGATGGTTCATCTGTTTAATAAAAATCTGCATGCGGTGCAAACGAGTACATTTTACACATTTCCTTTATTGCATTAACTAAAATGTTATTACTCAACGAAACAAAAGTGCAAGTGCTTAATTTCCGAATAATTAGAGATTTTAAGTGATTAAAATTATACTTGCCTTTTGTTTGTTCCACAAAATTTTCCTTCTTTTATCTACAATATATAAACCGTCAATGTGCACGATCAATCATTGTTTAACTGGGTCATAACCTGTAAAAATAAATCCCAAGAATAAAATACATTCCTTGTGCACCATCCCAACTAACGGCGCCCTGCCAAGCAGGCTCTTACATTCAATTTACGTGATACCATGAACAGACTAATCATTACACACCACTACTGGAACATAAACTACTCGTATTTAGCATAAAGCACAGGTAATGGGCTACACATACAAGACAAGTAAGTAACGTTTTCTTTTCCATGAGCAATCAATGCTTACAAATTCTCTGTGTTTCCTCTTTTTCAGTTACCATGCCAAACGCAATTCCTCCGGAAAATATAAGGTATCCAGAATACAAGTGACAACACGGTACAACAATTTCGTGAAGGAAATACAGAATTTCGTAGTTTATAAAATGAATGGTTGGATTGCGTTTTAAAATCTTGAGTAAGAAACTACCCCCCCCCCCCCAAAAA